TTTTTCACATTGGCCCAATACCCCAGATCTCCTAGAGGGCTAATGTCCTAGCCTTCCACAATTGCCCATGCCTACTGTAACATCATGTCCCAACACTTCCATGGAAGGACATTCTTTCATCTTCCTCCTCAGTCACCTTGATCACTTCTAAGCAGCAATAGGTCCATCGGGTCACTCAGAGCAACTGAAGCACATTAAAATGCTTTCTATATACCTCTGCAATGCAGAAGGAGTCCCAGGGAATTGCTATTGACAGTCTGCTCTGAAATATGAAAGTTTGAAATCCATCCCAACCTGAGCCATTGCTTTTCCCCACTGTGTCATCTGATATTAGGAATTCACCTTTATAAATAATTACTTTTAAAAATTCCATTTGATGAAGTTCAGTCAGTTTGATGAAATCCAAGTTATTCCCTGCGTTCTTTGTGTTGTGGAAACATGTGTTTTGAGTCATATTAACTAACCTACATCAAAGCATTAATGAGATGAAATCAATTGCGCTTTTCAATTACATATCTAATCTGAGCATTAATTTCGTTTGACAAATGCCTTGATTCAAAATATGCAGCCATTGAGAACTTATATGAACTTCCCTTGACATAAAATTCTCTTAATTTGTTTTTTTTCTCCCATGATTAACTGCTAATTCAATTCTCTTCATTAACGCTTTTCCATTTGCTATTTCAGTATCACAATTTGAAAACAGGGTTATGCACTGGAGCTCCTAGGTAGAAGGGAAAGTCTGATAACTTGTGCGTTGGAGATATCTTCTGTGGCTTAGGGGCTCTGCAGATGGTGCAAAGCACCGTCTTGGAGCCAGGGACACCGGACGTCCAAACCCCTTCCCAAGGACGTCATCAGAGCACCCGCCTTTGCACACAGCGAGCGCTCCGATGACGTCCTCCTGGCCCAGCATCTGCACAGGCTGAGCTGGAAGAGCTGCAGAAGAGCCACGCGACAGCTCTTCCGGCGCCCTTTCTGGGATTTTGGAAAGGAGCGCTATTTTAGCGCTCCTTTCCCAGCCGCCGAAAGGGTGGATTGGGCCGAGGCATGGAGCAGCCCCAGCCCTAATCCTTGGCTTCTCAGGGTGGCCCACAGCCACCCATCTGTAGAGGCCCTCAGTCTTAAATCCATCATCAAGAACAGAGTAGTATGAAGCCTCTGGATTTTCCAAGCTTGATACTGCTTTTAACAACTTATCTCAGGATTTTGGGTATAATGAGCTTTGAGTCTGTTTGTACCACCCTTGACACAGAGAGGATATCCTAAAGTTCATCAAGTCCAGCCCTTGCCAATGGAGAAAAGCAACATCTACATAATTTCTTCTAAGTGGCCACCCATCCTCTACGTAAAAGCCACTGCTAAAGGGGGTGTATGAGACTTTCCTTTTCATAAATTCTTCTACCAGGCCAGGTTTTCGGGATATAAATCTTGGCTCAAATTTGTTTGTTTGTTTTCCCTGGATGGGATTTTGACAATTTCAAAACATTTTAAAAACATTTTTTCATATTTAGGGGAGTCACCATAAGTCGAGGGCAAAAACACAGAGAGAGAGAGAGAGAGAGAATTGAATTTTATTCTTTTAACTGGAGGTTTGAATTTTTTAATACTGTTTTAATGTTCACTTTTTGCATATTTTAACTATATTTTTGTTTTAAATTGTAAGCCATTCTGAATCCCAATTTTTGGAGAAAGGTGGAATGCAAATTAATAGCAGCAGTAGTAATAGTAGTAATGCCATTTGTGATCAGCCATTCCTGCCTCTAGACCCAGGATGGACATTTTGGAAGTCAAGATTTCCGGTCTCATTCTTTGAGCTAGAGGCTGAGCGCTTAAGGCTCTTGTTTTCTTGGTTTGGAAGATAGTACATGTAGCATAAATCTTCTTCTAGAAAGAAAATCTCTCCTTTCTTTGACTTCATCTCTTTTTCTGTTCCTAATTGGCCTGGTCAAAAAAAAAAAAATTGGATGGTTGTTAAAATGACTGGGGAGTGGGGTATTTCAGGTAGCTCCAGGTAATTCTGGTCTTCAGTTTCCTCCTGTTAGGAAAAGACTTGAACCTGTCAGGATTTGCTGCGAATCTTAACCTTCTCTTCCCTGCCCTTTTTGGTGGGAAAGGATAGGCTTCTGATTCCAATTATTTCCTAGCTGGAAATATTTGCAAGAGCAAGGAATTATTCCAGCCGTTTGCCAAAAAACATGCACGCATACACATAAAGCCAATCTGGTGGTATTTTGTTTTGTTTCAGCCTCGTCCCTTTTTTCTTCCAGTTCCTGGAGGCTGAGGGAGGAACGGCAGGGGGATATAATTTAATACCCTGGTATTAAGGACAATAAGAAATTTCAACTGCGGTTTCATTCCTGGATGGGTTTCTCCCTTGCTCCCCCATCCCCGTTCCTCATTGTGTGTGTAAAGCGTAAATGTTTCCAACACTACTGCCAGATTTTTAGGGCTAGTTGTTAAGAGTGTGTGGGTGGCTTTCCCCTCACAAACTGCAGTATGTATGCCCCTTCCACATGTGAAACATGGAGGAATCACATCCCTTGGTGGAATGAGGAAAAACTCCAATCCCTTTTTTTATTGTTGTGATTATTGTTTTGGATTTAAGTGCATACATTAAAAGCTTTCAGGTAGAGAGCAATTAGACTGTAAACCCTCTTTCTTTGTCTGTCTCCTAATGTTGCGGAAAGGTAATTCCAATTTCTGTTGCAAAGGCAGCAGTTTTCTCTCTGCAGCTCCTTGTTACTACGCACAAACACACACATACACACCCCAAAATGGGATTGCTCTCCCCTTTTTTCTGCCAGGCATATTAATCAGAGATGTGTGTGTGTGTGTTCTACCAGTCACTGAAACAGATGTGAAAAATGTGTCCTCAACTAAAGGAAATAAAGGGAACCTGCCCTCGAAAAGAGAAAGAAGGAAAGGGAGAACCAAGGAATTTTTTGAACTCAAGGCAATAGAGGGTGTGAAGTCTTTTTTGCACTACACAATTATAACACTTTGGTAGTACTTTATCAGAGAGCCAGTGTGTTGTAGTGGTTTGAATGTTAGACTGTGACTCTGGAGAGCAGGGTTCCAGTCTCCACTCGGTCACAAAAACCCACTGGGTGATCTTGGGCAAGTTACGGTCTCTCAGCCTTAGAGCAGGGGTAGGCAACCTTTCCCCTTTAAGGGCTGAGGGACTTCAGCTCCCAGAATCCCAGGAGCTATTGGCCAACATGGGACTGTTGGCCAACATGGCTGAGATTTCTGGGAGCTGAAGTCCTTCAGCCCTTAAAGGGGAAAGGTTGCCTACCCCTGCCGTAGAGGATGGCAATGGCAAACCCCCTCTGAAGAAACTTGCCAAGAAAACCCAGTGATAGGTTCACTTTAGGGTTGCCATAAGTTGGAAATGACTTGAAGGCACACAACACACACCATTCTTACAGATATAGCTCCATTTTATGGAAGCCTGGGATTTGCAGTTTTATGAAGTCTTTGGAATTCTCTACCAGAGAGCTCTAGTGTCTCACAAAATCACAAATCCCATTGGATGCAACCCTTGGCAGTTAAGTGGTGTCAAGGTGCTGTTGTTATGTAGTGTGCAAGAGACTTGGGTTTTTGAGAACACAGTGAAGTCAGCAAATCACAGATTCATGGCTGCAGGCATGGTTGAGGTCAGAGGTGTACCGCTCCAGCCATATGCCATCATATGAAGGACCATGGCCAAGATCTTGAATCTCGTACAAGTAGCCATGCGGTGGCATGAGGGAGACTTCCCAAAATACACACCTCCTAGCTAGTTGGTGACCATTTGGGCAGATCTATTGCAGGCCATTCTGTAGTCTGACAAAAACATTCAATAAGCAGCTACTGGATACTTCCTTACACAATGTCAGAAAAATTAATTTCCCTAGTACAACCCACAG